ACAGGCTTGCCACCTTATAGTGTTTCTTTTAGATTTTCTTCTTTTAGACATAGCAATGTACCAAAAATACAATAAGTGTATCTACTACAAAGTAAACTGATGAGAAGAAATTGATATTTTAAGGTGATTAAAACAGATCACTTACAAAATTTTTGGATTATGAAAGAAAGCAACAAGTTATGATATAATTCCCTTACAATTACCCATTATCTCCTTTATGAAATTTTATTTTGATAAAAATGAAGAAATCATTTGTCTCAGAAGTGTATTCGTATATAATATGTATACATATTCAGTAAGTAATGAAATAAAAATTTATTCTCTCACATTAAAAACCAGTTTAAGTCATTCCATTTTTTCCATTTAGAAAAACAATAGTTGGTTTAGAAGCGATTAAATTATCTTTTGTTTGGTATAATCAAATGGTAGTTGAAAATGACAAAATTAAGGGCAAATGAGTAAAAAGTTTTGACTTAAAAAATTCACAACTGTTGAAATTATTTATTTTGAGATTATTAGGATTTAATAGATTGTTTCTACTTTATAATCTACTTTATGACTGATATAAGAAACAAACATAAAATTCCCAGATATCAATGTTCCTCAACTTTAAATTTGTTTTGACAAAATCTCTTAAAAAATATATTTTAATATAGATATAAATTTTTATTTAAAAACAGGCATTTTTCCTAAACCATGCAGAAAAATCATTAGGCATTGTGGCACATAAAAAGAAAATTGTATATAATGTAGAATACATTCATTTTAGTATCAGCTGATTAGTAGGCTGCCTATAGATAAAAAGAACTATAAAGATATACCTGAAGGATAAATTTTTCAATGCTCTGCTACTATTGTACACTACGTAGCTATTTTTGGTATTCATTATAATTGTAATACAAACTGTTTTCAGATCATTTCTGCCCAAAGTTACTTAATGAACAGAATTATTATTATTATTATTATAAAAATAATCATGTGACACATGCATTTTTCTAAAGTTATTTCTAAATGCACTTCGATCATCTATCATGGGAGCATACACCAGGCTGAAATTTAAATTGTTTTTAAGCCTTCCATAGAGATGAGAGGAGGGAGGAGGAACACATGAATCAAGTACCCATCATGAGTAACCACCATGGACCCACTCACTAAATTTCAAACTGCCTAAACCCTGTGCAACATCACGTCTTTTCACTCAAATTTTAATGAAACTGTGCTCACATCCCTTTCAGTAGATTACCTGCCTCCTGTTTTTCTAAAATGATTATAAGATATCATGAATTTATTCAACTTCCTTTGACCTGTCACTCACTCAAGGAGACACTCAAATAATGTTTATTCAAATACCATCATGTGCCATCTACTCTGCTAACTGTGGAAATTGATAATGAAAATGTTCCCCCTTTCCTTCAAGAAACATACAGCCCAAGTAGGAAGGAAGGAATAAAGAAAAATAAAACTGTAGAATATAGACGAATATAATAGAGGCTACAGAAGTGTAGACTATTGGTTATAAATGTTCATGTAAGTCTTCAAAGAACTAATTTTCAAACTTAATCTTCAGAATAAAAAGAACTGGACAAAACCTAAGAAGGAATAGAATGGAAAAGGGAAGTAAAAATAGAAATATCACACAAACACACACATACACACACACACAAAAAAAAAAAAAAAAAAAAACCCTGAGAAACAGGTATACTAGGTGTGAAGGAAATTTAGCCAGGCCTACTTCACTGCTTCTTACAGACCTTGATTCCTATTGTGAATCCCATGAAATAACTATTATGTTATTCATAGCAGAGGACATTTCCTAATGGTAAAAATAATATAACTGACAAGGTTAGGACTGAAAGATTAATGTAACCCTTCAATTAAATGTAAGGAATAACATTCTAATATCTCTATCACTCTGCCTCAGCTTTGAATAATGAAATAATTTTATCATTCTTTCTAATACAACAGATTATCACATTCAGTTACCCTAACTATGCATGGGGTTGTCCTTTACTCTCATCTGAAGAAAAACAACTTACAGAAAAAAAAAACAAAAACTCAGTAGTCAAATAAAGCTTACGAATCGATTCACCTCCCATGCTCCCTTTCTTACTACCAGCATTCTCAACAATGCACTCATGGTAGAAGCAGAGCCCAAAATAGTTCACTTCAGATGCCCAGGCCAAATCTTCCTTTTCTCCAAATCTTCCTTTCCCTAACAGCCTTCTAGAATGCCTTCTTCTTTACTTTTTTGCTCCTTGCAAAAAGTACTCGGTGAATAATTTTAAGTTTTTAAGGCAAGATAATGCTACATGATAACTGCCAAAGTTAAAATTTATTCCGTTTTTGGCAAAAAATCTCATAATAATCAAAAACATCACTAAAAAGCCCTTGAAAAAATATCACATTACTTTTATAAATTTATTTTTCAAAACTAGATTATCTGTTCACTGTAAACAGTATACCTAAAAATATCACCAAAAAAATTTCCATCTGTGATAGTACAGTATATGTCTATAATCCATAAAGGCTTTTGCTCATGTTAGTATGAAATGTTTTTCCTATTATAAAGTCTCATAAATTAAAGAAGCTCTGTTCTGTCTTACAAAAAAAATGTAAACTGAATATTTCTAAAGGTCTATAAAATTAGAGAAAACTGAGCTTCTAATATCTTAAATGAGGTAGATTTTTAAAGTAGTTCTTATTCAGTCACAGTGGAACACATCTATAATTTCAGCTATTTGGTAGGCTCAAAGAGGAAGATCCCAACATCAAAGCCAGGCTGGGAATTTAGCAAGACCCTGTGTCAAAATAAAATTTTTAAAAGAATGATTTGTAGTTCAGTGGTAGAGCACTGCCTAGCATTTGCAAAGCCCTGGGTTCAATCCCTAACACTTCAAAATAATAAATAAATAAATAGATAGATAAATAATTCTTAGAGAAATCAAATTCGTGTCATTAAGACAAATCTTTAGGAAATGTGTTAAGATTTATAATTTTGGCTTAATGAAAATAGCCATATCCTCTAATTTAGTAAATGTTAAGTACAGTACAAGCACATATTTTATTCTATTTGAGTTTGTTTCTCCCAAATTTATCAGATTACTAAACACATAAACTAACATTTACATCACATGAATGTACATTTTTACCCAACTACCCAGCCATTACTTTAGTACACTTTATTTCTACAGTAAAATTACATTTTGTAGTATGTCTTCTGAACAAAAGTGGATAGCAAGTAGAAGAAAGAAGAAGATCAAAGAGTAAGCAATACAAACAGCATTGCATCTTCTGTAGTATTAGTACATTCACCAAAAAGCACACAGTATAACCATTCCTCAAGGCCCTCTGCTAGGCCCCTTATAAAGCATGGCTTCTTCAGCATGTAAAGTGAGGTAGGTAAACAAAATGGTAACTAAACTTCCTTTCAGCTCTAACTTTCAAAAAGTCTTGGATTGCTGTGAACTGAAATCATTGAGGTTAGGGATGTTCATCACTATTACATGGTTAATTAGTCTAGTATTTCACTAAGAATGTGAGGACTTATTGATATTCTGATGACCTCACAAATTTAAGAAACAGAGCAACAATTCAGCTCCAAGTGAAAAATTCCAAGCATCACTTTAAGAGTCACAAAGAAGAAAAGCTATAGCTGAACTCACAAAAAATTCTTCTAGGAGTAGACCCAACAAGTACCTTATCACTCATATGCAAATCCAGTTAGGACTCTTTGGATCGCCTGAAAATTCTTAGGGGTAGTCTAAGCAGTGAAAATAAAAATAACAAAAATGACCTGAAAAGGGACAGAAGGTTTGTTCCTGGGTCAGTTGGCAAGAAAGAATTGAGAAGACTAGGAAAAGAACATTTCAGAAGGGTAAAATGAGTCAGCAAGACTCTATTCTTCATACACAACTTGGGAACAAATCCAATTAAGCTTCTTAATTCAAAATAATATTTTCACCATAGGGACTTCTTTTATATATTTAAGATATTTATAAATCTATCCTTTCTCTAAAAGGCTAAAACCATATTAAAAGTACATACCTACTTTCTATTTGAAACCACTGTCAAGGTCTGCACTAGATCTAATTAATGCTTAACATGCTCATATAATTGACTTTTCTTTCAGATTTCTTTCATCTAAAACATTATATTTCCACATACATTCAAAATCATGCACCTGTCTATTTCTGAATGAATTGTTTTAAAGGTATACTGTTATCAGAATTAAGTTTGGTAAGTTGTCAGAATACTATCAGTGAACTGAAATTATAAATTTGTAGTATTATAATTCCAACAGTGATAAGATTGTTTTATCCCATTTCTTTCAAAATGAAAGGAACCTACTCATTATATATCCAACAAAAAGTATTTATCTCTATGAAAACTTAAATTTGTATTGTTAATCATATATTATATAGTTCAACTTCAAAATGAAAAATCTAACATACAAATTTTAAAATATTTTTCTATTTACATATGATATAAAAATATTTCATCATGTTGATAATACTAAATACTTATGAAACTATAGAAGACTACAACTTAAAACACAAATGGAATAAATTAATCCTGCAGACACTGATGCTATGTTTAAGAAAATAAAGCTACAGGTAAAAATTATCTATAAGTAAGAAGATATTGATAATTCAAACTCTAATTGTAAATATTTGAGATATCACTGTGATAAGGAAAGAACTGATCACTTATAACAGTTATCCTTAATTCTAAGTAACAGAAATAATGTCTACATAGAATTAAGTCTAAGTATGAAAATATGTTGAAACTATAAATATCTAGGCCCTATTATTTTCAACATAAGAGAGTCTTCATTGATCTACTTGGTAACACTAAAAAAGATTCTTCTACCTATTGTCCACACTTGCTCCTTCTTCCCTCACATTGATCAAGAAAAAAAAATTATGGCAATTTAAGTGTAACAGGAGTAATAATAATCATAATATTCCATTTCTAATGTTTTTAAATTATGTTGTCCCAACCTGGTCTCCAAAGTCCTCTGGGAATTTCCACAATATCACAGGATCTGCAAATAATTGATACATCATCATTAAAAAGAGCCAAAGAAAAACATTTAATTACACAAACTACAATCATAATTTTTTGGTCAGGGTCACTGTGTACTATTTATCAAATTAAATGTTTTAATCTTTTAAGGTTTTAGTGACTTTTGAAATAGGACCAAATGAAATTAATAACTTGGTAAGGTTATAAAAATCATTTTTTAGCAATTGACATGTTATTTATATATCATATATTTTAAGATTCTGAGTATTTTCAATGTTAACTATACTTTTAAATTATTGGTTTTAACATGAAATTAAAATATAAATGTGGTAAATATGTAATCAAATATTACAACTGACAGACTAAAACAAAATAAACTCTATAAATCAGTTTTAAAATAATAGATAAGTTAATAGGTAGGTAGAAGACTGCTTATTTAAAATACAATTAATATTTGCAGGATATTTCAGAAAATTTTTTCTAATATATCTACGATATATATATCATATATCATATATATATATATATGTATGTATTCTTTTACTTATATTCACACCAGTTTTACATTTTCATTGTTCCTTATACTATTTCTCTTCCACTTGGTATAATAAAATTCTTAATTATCACTAGGTAAATATTTTGGTCATACACTTATTTTTTAACTGTCAAAAATAAAATCTGAATATTTTAAATGTTTTAAAAGGTAAAATGAGTTAATATTATTTCTGGGGAAAAAATTTAAAAACTTTTGAAAGTCCACAATAAAATTTTGCCAATTTGACAGTGCTTGAACTCCAACCTAAGCAAAAGGATTTGGTAAGTCAAAAGTATTCATTTTATGTACCGAGTCAGTGGAAAACTACAGCTCTAATCCATTATTTCCAATATTCCATAGTGCTTTTTTAAAATAAAATTCAAGGATGCATACTTTCCTAAGTGTTAATTCCAAAACTCAAGAAAGGCTAGCAGTATTTTTAGCATGAGCAGGCTCCTCTCATATTTTCAACTGGCAGACAATTGAAAATATTCAGAATCTTAAAATCTAAGACATGCAAATTAAAAAGTGAATAGCTAAAATATTACTTGTAACTTCAACAGAATTTTTTTCAAGTATTTTAACTTAAAACGCAAAGAAAGCAAGCTTTCCATAACTAAACCTTTTACTTATAAAGCAATAAAAACTTTCCATATAAATTAACACAGGTAAGTCATTTAAAACATATACATTACAAATTTATGAAGTAACAACAAATGCTTACGCCCTCCATAAGACAATGTATACATATTTGAAATGAAGTTAAATGAACTATAGATCACTTAAAAATCCTGAGGCATTAATGTCCTGAGGACAGCTATTACCAATTGGAATACACATACACACACATTTATTATTATATGTTTCACAGGCATACACGATGATATGTTAAGTGGCAAATAAAATAACTGATCAGATTTAAATCTCCTAAAACAAAGGTGTATGACAGAATCTTCATGAAATATCAAACAAAATTATTACTGTTGATAAATTAACATAAAAATTAATGGCCATATAAATAAATCATCACACAAAACGTAGGCTAGTTCTTTTTCATAAATAATGATTTATGAGTTTCAATGTGCTTAAAATATCGCTTTTAAACAACTTTTGAGAGACATTTGAGAAAATGTCTGTGCAAGTGTTTTACACCTATGTCTTTAAGCCGGGCACATTTGAGAAAATGTCTGTGCAAGTGTTTTACACCTATGTCTTTAAGCCGGGCACAGTGGCTCATGCCCATAATTCCTTCCAGCATGAAGAAGGGAGGTTGAGGCAGGAGGATAGCAGGTTCAAAGCTAGCCTCAGCAATTTAGGGAGAGTGTAAGCAACCTAGTAAGGCTGTCTCAAAATTTAAAAAAAATAAATAAAAAGGACTAGGGATGTGATTCAGTGGTAAAGGGCCCTTGGGTTAATTCCTTCCTAAAAAAAAAAAGGCAAAACAACAACAAAAAACAATGTTTCTCGGGGCTAGGATTGTGGCTCAGTGGTACAGCACTCGCCTTGCACAGGTGCACAGGCGGGACTGGTCAGATCCTAAGCACCACATAAAAATAAAGGCATTGTGTTGTGTCCATCTACACCTAAAAAATAAATACTTTTTTTAAAAAAACAATGCCTCTGTCTTTAAATCAGGACATTTAACTGGTGTAGTCCTCACAGTTTGCCCTCATTGTTAGCAGCATTTAGTTAAGTATGGTTTACTGCCTTACTTTACACTAATCCCTTACTCAATCTTTTTTCTTTTTTTCTGTATTCACAGAGAAAGAATAAGTGAGTACACAAAAACAGCATAATTAAACACCTACTGGTTTAATTATCTAGTGGAATATATCCTATTGTTTTCATTAAATAAATTTTACTCTTCAGCACTCAAAACTTTATTAGAATCATATGCATCCATATTTTAAAATGCATTAACTTAGTTAATATTTATGTGGTTATATTTAGACCACATCTGACATATGTTTGTAGCAACTTTTCATAAGTACTGCAGAGGAAGAAACAAAAGGGACTAAAAAAAATAATAATTCAATTCTACAACTTTGCACAAAGACTGAATTTTCTGCTCCCTGAGGATTACTTTCTAAATAATCAATCTGATCTGGCAATGTTAGGCCAATTTTATGCTGATTTTATGGGTGAAAGGATGGGAACTGATGGCAGGAGTCATCAGTGCAGTGATGACTGATAATAACAGTTTCTCTTCTTTCCAACTTCTACTAGTAATTCAAAGGAGACTCTTTATCTTTATTTTAAAAATACTTTGCTGCCAACAATCTAGAAACTAAATAAATATGAAAGGAAGAACGTATCTTAATTTTGACATAAATATAACTAATTTGTTTTAATGAGATAAATTACAGTATAATAAGAAAAATACACAAATTTTTATCAAGTCAGTAAACAATTAAGGAAAAATGTTTAAATTATTATCTATGCTCCACTATCACAAAGATTTTTAATTCATGATTAAACCTTTACAAAAATGGAAAATAAGATAAATTTGATAATATTTTATTTTCTTTTTCAATCAGATATTTCACATTTTTTGACCTACAGTGAAAAGGAAAAATTAAAATAACTTGGAATACTAATGTGATTCTACTGAATCACAAAAACTAAAAAGGGAAAACTTTCTAATTGCATAAGTGAATAAAACTGACTTAATTCATAGAACTCAAAAATGAATTAAGAATACACTATCTTTTAAAGTATGCACTTGTCAAAAATTCACAGTTCAAAAGGACATATTTTTGAAAAAGTAGAACATAAAATAATAATATTTTGTTTCTTTATACCTTTTATTGCTTGATTTACTTACATTATAGAATTAGAACAGAATTTATATATGAAGAAACAGAAGTGAAAATAATGAGAAGTTTGCTTAATCATATATCTATATAATGTCTGAGATTAGAGCATTCTTAAAATGTAAGAAGAACCTATTTTAAATAATTTCCAAAAATTAATCCATTTTGTGACTCATTTAAGTTTATTTTGTTCAAAAATCTAAAGACTGCTAAAAAAAAAAAAAAAAAAAAAAGAAAAAGTCTCTGTCCTCCAGTACCCTACAGTGTCATGAACAAAAATGTCAAAGGCTATTTAGTTTTTGTGCAAGGTATTATTCTAAACATGGTAGACTTCAGGGTCATTTTAATTCATCTTAAAATTTCATCAGCTTAATAATTTCAAGAAATGTTGCAAATGAAACAATGAAGATGTGTTTTGAAAAAAAAGTGAGCAAAAAAATTAAACTGTTTTTTGGAAAATGTGTGATTTTCATTCTTTTAACTGTGGTGATATAATGGTCAATTTATAGAAAAGAAAAACATTCAAATATGAAAAAAATTAATGTGGGTTACTATGATAAAAGGATATCATAAGAAAATCTAACCTACTTTAGAGAGCAACTAAAGAAAAGGACCTCTAAATTGCCATTTACATTACACAAAGGATAATTTGACTATAAAGTGGATAACGGAGAAAGTTCTAGACTAGAGAAACAACAAGCATGAAATCTTGGGGTTAAAAAAAGCAGAATGCATTTTAGAAACGAGAAAAAAAATCTAATGTCTAGAACATAAAGTAGAAGGGAAAGAATGTCGAGAGATGAAGCTGGATTGGCAAGAAAAGCTATTCCAGCAGCTAGTGGTATAAACCAAAGGAGAAAACAACCCAAAAGTAGACAGAATTCAGCTAGAATGTTGGTGAGGAGGCAGATTTAAGATGACTATGGAATAAGTATGAGAAAATAAGTATGAGCAATGTGTATGGAGGAAACTTATTTAAGGAAGGCTACATAGGGCAGAAGAAATTAAAGGTAAATGGAAAGATTAAGGTAAACAGATTTTTTTCTTTGTCAGGATAGTTTAGAACATGCTGATAGGAACTAATAGCCAGTGGAAACCAACAAAAAAGGAAAATAAGACCCCTAAAAAGGCAGGAAGGGTGGAATCCTGACCAAGATAGTGATATGAGCCACGGACAGAAGCTAGAGCTAGCCTTCCACTGTTACAAGGAAAATGGAGGAGGGAGAAGACAAGTTTGTGGGATGTGTGGCTCAAAGATGAAACATGTAAAAACTGGTATTTTTCCCTCCCTGGTGAAAAGCTCTCTAAAACAAAGTACTCAGCTTAGAGAGGGATTGTTGGAGCTTCAAGGAGAAGATTTAGGCAATAATTAATATTCAGTTTATGCAAGTGTCCATTCTGGCATTGAAAGGTAACAAAGTAGGATTTTCCCATAATGATCCAGCAGCTCAGATGAAAGATAAAATTGGTGGATTCAGTCAAGGTCAGAGTTTCTCTCCAACATGTGTGATAAAAAGAGAACTTGCACAAAAGAGCACAGACATAAATGACTTACCTAAAACTAATTAAAAAGGAGGTGGATTTTTTTTCTATAAAATCCAACAATATATGTTATATATAGAAATACATATACACTTTATAAATATATTACATATATCCAAAGACTGCAGG